CCTGGGCTGTCACGTCTGTAGCAGGGCTGTTTCCCTTGGCCCTGCCTCCCCCACAGGGTGGGTGTAAAGCTCCCGTGATTCACATGTGCGGAGGAGAAATTGGTGACCCATAAGGTGCAAACGGTGTGTGATTCAAGGGGGTACAGTGAGCCCAGGGGCCCCTGGCCAGTGGAGTGTGTCCCCTTTATACGTATGTGCACACACATGTACACACAAGCAAGCATGTGCAGGCGCACACACACACACACACACACACACACACACACACACTGGCTGAGAGCAGCAGTGAGAGTGACTGGAGAAATTTGTCATAACATTCCTATCAGCCTTACATGACCCGCACGCCCTCTGGGGCTTTATTTCAGTAAAATGGGACTAAGGCTTTGCTTGAACTCGCGCTCTCCGCTGCTCTGAGTTGCCACACACAGTGCCAAGCTGAGATAGACTTGGCAGTTTGTGCCAGCCTTTGGCAGAAGGACATGTAGGAAAATGCTCGTTGGGGTTGGCATGGCCGCCTGGCTTTCCTCTTTGCATCAGTAGCAGATTGTCGGGCCATGCGTCCGCCGTCCCGGGACCACGTGTCCCCCAACCCCTTCCCTAGCTCTGCACTCCGGGGCCTCGCTTCTGAATCCTAGGAGAGCTCAGCACCAAAAGGGGTCCCCGAGGCTTCAGACCGTCTGCCGGCTTTTCGTCTAATGTGACAACAGTCAGTGCTGACACCCCCTCAGGAATGACAACAGCTAACATTTTCTGAGAGATGATGAAATGCTGGGAGCTGATCAGAATTGACGGGAATAAGTGTTTCCTATCCTATTTCTTCTCTTATTTTTCTAAGATGCACCAATAGTTGTCAGGTCCCCGGTGGGTCTGGTTTGGGGGATGGAGGCCGCTACCAGCGTGGCCTCATTTTGTGTCTGAAGAAGCTGAAGCTGGGCGTCCAGGTTCAGCCACAAGCAGCAGAGTAGGGACTCCGTGCCACCTCCCTGCACTGCCCCTGGATTCCGCTCTCTCCGCGGTCCCAGAGCTGGGCCAGGCCCTCGCATCATCCCCTTTGCACCGAGGGGGAAACTGAGGACAGAATTGAGTGGGGACTTGCCCAGGGTCTTGTGTGTGTCAGCACCTTGAAGTCGATGTCCCCTGGCCTCTCCCGGGACACCGAGGTGGCCTGCTGGCTGGCTGGCTTGCACAGTGCACTGTCCTTTGGAGGGGCATGTTGTGTTCTTTGTAGGTGACTTACGCTTTGCATGAGTATTTCTCCACCCTGTGCTCTCGGTTCCTCTACAGCTGCAGCCCCGCCTTCCCAGCTGTGCCGCGTCCCACCCCCACACCCCCACACCCCACACCCCCAAGCGCGCATCCGGACCGCTCCCGCCCGGTGTTCGCCGCCGCGGCCACGAGAGGGCGCTGTTGCTCCGCTGCTGGAAGGCTGGGAGCCGCCTGCACAAAGCCGGGAGCAGGGACCGGCCTGGCTTTTCTTTGTCTCTCAGACCTGGTTTGGATCAGGGAAAAGACGAGTTCTCAGCCATTAGAAAGCGCTTCAAGATAGAAAAGGCCCTCACCCGGCCCATCCCGACACTCTGCGCCCCCGGCTGTGGGGTTTTTGTGCGTCCTTGGCCCAGCGCGACCCACGCGATCCACGCAGCTGCAGGCGTTAGCACGCGTGCCTTTCTATGCGGTTTTTTCACTTGTGGCCTCACAGGGTCGCTTTCCATGTCGTACATGGTTTTTGTATTTAACTTTCTATTTGGGGGACTTCACGGCTCTGAGAAGGATGTTCTGCCGGAACAGCCCTGCCTTGTGCTGGAACGATGCCGCTAGAAACATGTTCCATTAGAACTTGAAGACGATGCGATGAGCATATCGAAATGGAACACACAGTTAGAAGCCCGTTCGCCGTGAGGGTGTCTGCTTTGGGGCATTCCTGTTTTATTGCCCAATGGGATCGTGTCCCAGCGCCATCCCATACTTCGCCTTTTCAGCTCATAGGTCGGTTTTGCAGAAGGATCAGCGGGCTCCTGCATTCTCTCTGCTGGTCCATAGGGTCAGCAGGCCAGCGGGCTGCCAGGCTCCTGCTCGGCGCCCTGTTTTCCGTAGGTTTTGCTGTCACAGGCGAGAGGGACTTTTTCCGAGTTCCGAGTGGTTTTGCTCTTGAGCTTCTCCCCAGACCCCTGCCCCGCTCCTGCCAGGGCCTTGGCCGTGCCCCTCCCAGTAGCGAGGGCTCTGTATGGACTTCACACTCTGTCCGGAAAGCCTCTGCCTTTTCGAACCCTGCCTGCAGGTCCCCCTCCGCCTCCCCCAACTCGGGGACCCCTCCAGGCCCCCGTCCCTGAGGACTCTCGCCTGCCCTAGGAGCCGGCTGGTTCCCACAGCACGTCCTAGAGGCCTGGGCTCCCCGCACTCGCTGGAAGAAGGACCCAGCTCCAGGCCAGCTGTGGCCTGGGTGGTGAAGCGGGATGTGTCTTGGGAATGCGGAGCTGGGTGGTGCTTCCTGCAGACAGCTGGGTGGACGGTGATGGGGAAGGGTCGGGGGACGGGGGGGGGGCGGGCAGCGGGACCCAGGCCCTCGCCCGTGGGTGCAGCCCGGCATCCATGTGCACACAACTGAGTGAGGAAGCAGCTGGGCTGGGAGGGAAGTGGCTCACCTCACACCTGCGGCCCTGACCCTTCGCCCGAGTCAGAAACCTGGCATCGTCCTGGG